AAGTTATTATTACTTAAACGTGTTTTTAGGCTTTTTGATACCCATTCACTATTGCCATAAAATTTTCTAGACCTACATAAAAAATGGAAATGTGAAGTAGATAACCAAAATTGCTTCTAAATAGCTTTAGAGAGCACTTGGGAAGGGAAGAGTGGTTTTCTAGTTTGAACCCTGTTTTTACAGATTTTTCACTCTATTTCATTCAGTAGTGATATTTTTTAATAGTCATGGGTTTGCTATGGTTATTTAATTTTTCCTGACTGTCCACTTTTGCTTTATTCAACATCAGGTTGCTTAAGCTGTAGTTCTAGGACAGTTTCTTTCATTCTATTTCTCCAATCCATTGCTGCCTGCACACTCTTGAACTTTGCAATGCTTCCATGCCAAACCCATATATGCTGACAACAATTTAAAAAAGACATGAATATTAATGAAGCAGAGGATGTGCACACAAAAAAATCATTTAGCACCAGGATTATCTGGGGCTTATCTAAGAACTACAGCAGGATTTGTTCTGTGGTCCAGCTGATCAGGCAGGCACCAGCTACCGCAAGATGATTTTTTTCTTGCTTCCGTGGAGAGGATTAATGTTAAGGCATACAGTTAGCTGTCAGTACTATTAATCACCTAAATTCCTCAAGCTAAAGAAAAAAGAAGCCAACTCGGCAAAAAATGTGTGTCGAGGATGCTGTGTTTTCTCTTTCCAGCAGAGGGAGAATCCCACAGGACACTTCAACCAGATAAGCAAGAAACTCTGAAATGAGAAAAATAGACAAAAAAATGATGTCTGGGGTTGAAGGCAAGACAATGCAGATTTCTGGAGCTGCTTGGTTAGCCAGTGTCTGTCCCAAAGGAAATTAGTGCTGCTGTTTCCAGCTCCTCACTGCCCTACCGTGTTGCTCTCAAAGCAGTGGGGAGTACCAGCTTCTTCCAAGGGAAGGATGGTGGACCTCCTCTTCCCTGGCATGGGGTCACCCCTCCCCAGTGTGCTTCACATCAATACACCCCATGAGGTCTCTCTGTTGAGCAAATCCATTCTCCAGGTTTTTTTGCAGCCTGCACTGCCCTGGGCTTTGCTCGTGTGGGGCAACGGATGAGGCCTCAAGGTGTGGGGGAACGAGGTGCTGTGTGCTCGGTCTTCCTGTGGCCTGGGCTTCCTCTTCCTTCTGTGAGCAGCAGAAGAAAGCAGACATCCCCATAGGCGATCTCAACATGTCTGCTGGTGCTGTGCCTAATGAATGCCAGACAGCTGGCCCAGAGGTCTCAGTGTCTGAGACACCTCAAGGTGCGCCCATAAAGGCATGGTCCTGCATTTTATTATGGCAATGATGGACTTACCAGCTGCTGTGCTAGACACTAGCACCAGCATCACGAGTTTCCAAACACCCTGGGTATTATTTTCCAGAACATCTGAAACAAGGCTGATGGAGTGGCCTTTTACATCCAGGCATTAGCATCTACCGTAGGTGGCTCTGGATCCCACGAGACAACTGCCCTGGCCCAGGATGCCACCTCCCTGTGGTGATGCAGCAGCTGCCAGGAGCTGTTCCCCCTGCCCCATGCACTCAGCTTTCCGTGCAGTCTCCGCTCTCCCTTCATCTCTACGAGCAGAACCACGCACCTTGTGAGGACAAGGGCAATATATAATTAAATGCCAGCCAGTGAGGAACCCAACCTCCCAAACCACAGAGGGAAAGA